GTAGGGGCATTTAATTGTTCATTTCCTTTAGTGAAATATAGAGTGGATAAGGATAAGCCGTGGCTAACAAGGGATATTATTCAACAGAGTGTGAGACTAAGAGATTTATATAAATTCGCCACCTTGAACCCACATAAGGAAGGCCTCATGTTGTATTATAAACAATTAAAAAAAGTTCACAAAAAGCACATATATGCAGCTAAAAAATTGTTTAATGATCAATGTCTTTTGAATTTCGAAAACAAATCGCGTTCCGCGTGTCAAATAATATATAACGAAATAAAATGTGCGACAAAAACACCGGATTTTTTTATTGATACAGACGGGGAAAAAGCTACTAATATGACTTCGGCTGCAAATTGTTTTAACAATTTTTTCGTCGATTCAGCCAATAGTTTGAAAAATATGTTTTCACCACATAAAAATACGATCTCGCTAAACGTAGCTCTTGCAGAGAGCATGCATTTAAGTCAATATTTATGTACAGAAGTTAGTAATATAATTTTGTCTGTCACTAAGAAGTATTCAGCGGGTTCGGACGGCATTCCCTGCGCTGTGTTAAGGCATGTGGTCGACACTATTTCAGAACCGATGACATATCTCATTAATTATTCCTTTTTGCATGGATCCTTTCGCAGCATTCTAAAAAATGCGGTAATCACACCACTCTATAAAAAAACGGTGCAACAATTATTTCAAATTAGACAGCTATAGCACTCCTAGCTATAGCTATCCGTTTTTTCAAAAATCTTCGAAAAAACACTGCATTTAAGGCTTTCTAATTTTTTGGTTTTCGAAAAGACCGATCTACGCAGGATGCCATTCTCTCTTTATATAAGCATATTCTTACCCAGTTAGAAGAAAGGCAGCAGACGGCATGTGTTTTGTTCGATCTACAAACAGCATTTGATTTGGTCGATGTTGATATTTTAGTGGACAAGCTTTGTTCATATGGTATTATAGGTAACGCCTTAAATTGGTTAAGGTCTTTTCTTAGGGGTCGTACGCAGTTGGTCAAATTGTGAGATACCTTACGATTTGAATACGTCTCTGATTCCAGGTCAGTGAATTGTGGTGTACCTCAGGGAAGTTTACTCGGTCCTTTATTGTTTATAAATGATGTGTTTTCATCTTTCCCCCATACTTACTTTGCCCTTTTTGCAGATGATGCAGTTTCTACTCTTTCTGCAGCATCGTCTGAGCAACTTAGTATTGCAACCAAGACAACGGTTGAGCAAATGAAACATTATGCAGAAATTAACAAATTGATATTGAATAAAAGTAAAACTGAAATGATCGCCTTTTCAACACGGGATTTAAATAAGAGTTTATTAGTACGCTTTAATGAAAGCACAATTCAACAGAAAGGTGTTGTAAAATTCCTCGGAGTTTATGTAGACTCGAGACTCTCCTGGTTCGAACAAGTGGACCACATTCTCAGAAAACTTTCTGTTTACTGCTTTGTCATATAGAGGCTCCGCCATCAGGTTTCTTTCCCCTTGTTAAAATGTACTATTTTTCGTATGTCTATTCGTGTCTCAACTACGCCTTGGTTTGTTGTGAGGTTTCCCACGTGCGGAGCAAGTCTTTAGGATGCAGAAACGCATTTTACGGACTATACTGTTTAAGCCCTGGAATTTTTCATGTCGGAACCTATTTCCACAACACTCTTTATTAACACTTCCTAGTATGTACATACTAAATTGTGCCACGTATGTAAAAAGTAACTCTAATCTTTATATGCCCTCAAGAAACTCAGATATTCAATACAGTTTAAGACCGAATCTTAACATAAAAATACCTATACATCGACTGTCTCTTACAGAAAATAGTCCCTTTATTTTGACTGTAAAAATTTATAACAAATTGCCTATAGAACTGAAGGAGATAACTAGTCAAACAAAATTCAAATGCACTCAATATTAAGGATTTTCTTTGTTATGATACCTTTTAATACGTATTCGTTGTTTGTTGTTGTTTCTATATTTCTTATTTATCCATCAGTATTACTTATTATTATTATTATTAATTTACTAATTATACTAAGATAATTTTATACTTTTACATTATGCTGACAATATCCAACACTTTTAAATCAAGTCTTATGGAAATAAAGCTATCCTTCTCTCTTGACGACCCCATACGTGAAAGGAATATCAGAAAAGATTAGGCGAATAACTAAACAATATCAAATTAAAACTGTATTTCAATCTGGATCAGATAATAAACTGTTCGTTTATTATTTAATTCTTTTATTTGCTATTAGTACCTCCTTAATTATTATGATTGTTAACAATAATTAATAAGGAACTATTTAACAATAACAATAAAAAATAATTAAAATGGGTAACATAAAACTGGCAAGCATCCATTTTCAAAGTCATATCAGGTTAACACAGTAATATTTCTGTAGTTTTTGGTGTTTTTTCTTAATAACATTTTTGCAATGGAAAATCGTTTTATTTATACAATTTTAATTGCATTTAACAATTAGAAAAAATCATACAGTCACTTTTTTTTCATTCTAAATTCGATAAAATTTAAAATAGGAGAAATGGAAACACTATTTGAAGAAAATATTTTTTGACCAATTTTTCTATTTAATTTTTTAACATTAGTTTTTAATCACCCTGAATTTATTTTTTTCTATAACATCAACAGAGGCCGCTAAAGACCGCCTCTATAAGGAAATCAACCAATCTAAAGGCTCTCAGTCATAAAAATGGATGTTATTTAAAAGTACAAATGTGACTTTTGAAACAATATTCAAAATATGTCAGAAAGAGTAAATAAAAAAAGCGTAAACATACAGTGTGTTCTATTTAAGATAAAAAAGTTGTTAATTTCAAGAAAACACAAACATCTAGTATACATAAGAGTATATCCAAACTTTTTTTGGCCACCTGATGCTCGTGTTGATAATCTCTATTGATAACTTACTTGCCGTTTTCACCAAAGGCAGAAACGAATACAAACAAAAAATAAAATATCTTTATTTACCATTGCATTCAAATCAAGATTTAGTCTTGCATTAAGTTTGTATTTACACATGATATTTCTGAATTCGGTATCATATAGTTGACCATAAATATAGTGACCAATCTGCAAAGCTAACTTTAAAAAAACACGAAATATTACCAACGACGACTTGAAATGAAGCGAGTAATAAAAGCTCTTTTTTTCCAATTGTTGCGTTAAAAATTTTAATCAAAGTTAGCGGAGCCACGAAAACGATTTTAATTTTTTTCTCGATATGGTATATTAAAAAGTTTCTTAACAATATCGAAAATCCATTTTGTCCCAGCAGCGCACCTAAAAATATTCAGATTATAGATTCTGCTAGTCTGTATGTTGGGTGACGTAACTATAAAATTTACCATATGCTAAATGTCTCAAATACTGCAAAATCTATAAATAAAAAATTAAAAAATCTTGAGATACAAGATCAGACATGAAGTGCTTCAAAGTGTCTTTAATGTTTTCATCTTCAATTTTGAAATATTTTAAGCACATTGTTCTCGCAATCGAAGCCATATATAACATTTTATAAAAAGATTAAGTTACGAATTAGTCAACGGCTTTTGTTTAATTATACCAGCTGTAACTGATAATGCAAATGTATAAACTTATAGATTAGGAATAAGTGTGGAAAATGTCCAACATTTTGCGGAATATACAGTTGAGTCCGCCTGTTTAACTTATGCAAAATTTTAATTGTCCAGTAAGGATGCAAATCATTAATTAAATTTGTTTCACTCCTAAACAAATTAACAAACCTGCCCAAATAAAATCTATAGAGATTTAATTCAACATCAGGTTTTAAAACTCCATGCCCACTAGTCATTTTTGTAAATTTTACCTATCATTTTTTACATACATTATTCTTTTATGGAATTTTGAACACTACTTATTTTCTAGTGATTATTTTATTTTCTGGTAATTCCATTCCTAATATAAAAAATAACTATTACATGGTATATATTTATGAAATTAGCGTAGAAGTAATTAACAAATAAAAGTTGAATTTAAGAATAAATATACATATCACTTTTTACAATTATATATCGTTTTTTTTTCATGGAATATTTTATTCTTAAATTCAACGAGTTTTTGTATACATGTAGGTGGACATTAAGTATCGCTGTACAAAAATAGCGCATAAATGTATTTTTTTAATTTTTATCTTAAATAGGAAAATGGATGGAACAATAAAATTTAGCCTATGAATTAATATTATAAAAACGCACGTTTTGCATATTTTTATTTTATTTAAATGAGTGAATTAGGCTACCCCAATCATTTTTCTTCGTTAAATTTAAGGAAAAACTTATTTTTTTATATTTCCTTATTTTATATATTATTTTTCTATAGAACTTACAGATGCATGTCCAAAAATATTTTATTCACTTTCATTTTAAACAAGGGATCGCCCTCCTCAAGGCTTTCGTAACTGTTTTGAAACATCATGCATACCTATGCACCATCCTGTATAATACACTTTCCGGTTTTGATTTGTCGAGTCCACCATCTAAAGTTTATCTTACACTTATTTCAGAATTATCAAATGAAATAAGGATATTTTTGATGGCATTTTTTATACCTCACCGTTTTATTTCATTTTGTAAATTTAATTGAAACACTGATTTCATCTTTTAATTAATAAACCTTCTCAAATTGTGCAATAAACTTGTTTTATAACGAATATTCCCGAGATCTCATTGTTCGCAGCAAAGGGAAATTAAAAAACAGAGTTTTTCTTTGGTTCGGTGCTTTCACAACCGGGAAAAATTTCACGAACCTCTAAAAACTCCAAAGAACGCTGAAATTAAAAATTTCATTCAAATTGCGTATTCGATGTTTCTGTAATTTGTCGTTCATCGTCGACAATGAAAAATTATATTTCATTATTCCTTTTAAATCTGCTAAATTGGAAGGAACAAACAATGGTCCTCTCACCACCCATTCGCAATATGCTACAGTTGAATGAAACAATCACTCACCAAAAACTATTAAAGAGCTCACATACCATAGGCATTTCACCTGCCGATAACCACGCACCTCTGTCTCAATTAAAAACAAATATTTTCACTAAAAAATTCAGACAATAGCGTTCGTGTATTAAGTGCTTTTGTTTGATCGCATGTGTGCTTTACGTTTATGCTTGCCTGCGGATTTAAGAAGCTTTAAAAGAACTGATAAATGACATAAGCGGCGAAAAATCCCCTGACGAAATATATTTCACAAAATCTGTGCTCGCGTCTTAAGGTTCCATGAATTACTGATGTATGCAACAAAAGCGTAATATACTCGAAGTATTGGCCCCTGCTCTCCCTTCATTTCAACGTAAAGTCAATATTGGTGTTCAATTAGGGTGTAGGTGATAAATCGAGATGTCTTACTTTCACTTTTGGTATAAGCAAGCTGTAAGCGGAATACAATAATTATTGAAAGGTGGATTTTGCCTATATTTCTTTAATCCCGAATAAGTGTTCATCTATTATTCCACACTCACTTGCATCGTAATGGCATCCTCACACGTCACTTTCGTGTCTAAAAATCAGAGCTAAGTCTTTAAAGTTTTTTTTTATAAAACACGCGTCAAGAAGTCAATACATGTTTCCAGAACTTAACTGCTGATGTTTAGCTGACACTTCTAATAAAAAACAGCTTTCCACCCCCAGTAGCTATTGTAGGGATCAAGAAATGATTTTTCATTTTAAAAAACACGTATTTCTTAGTGGGTGGAATAAAATATGACTACTTCAGAAAACGGACGGGTTTGTAAAATAGTATCCCAAATGGTGCACCCTGTATTTCGACATTGCTCGTAAGACCGCTGGCATTTTCGATAACCGATAGTAAAATTGCTAAAAAATATTCTGGTAGTTCGTTAAGTAATGTTAAAAATGAAGGTGAACGTCGGCTGCACAATAATCATTAACACGTAACTCCAAGAGATGGAATTAAAGTAAGTTGTTTTCAGAATTTGGGCTTTCCAGGAGTAACTGGAGCAGCCGATGGCATACAAATAGCAAATTTAAAACCCAATGAAGAACAATATTTTATAACATTTATACATTGAAAGGAATATCATTCGTATGTGTTTACAAGTTGTGGTGGGTCCTGATAGCTTCAACTAAAGAAATAACGGATATCCTTTGCTAGATACATGACACCATATAGGAATTACGAAAATGAAGGAGAAATGGGACTTTACCTATTTATATCTGTTTAAAAACTTTCTAACTAGTAAATTGATATTAAAACTAAGTGAGATCATTATTTTATGTATATGCCTCATAAAAATAGTGCTAAATAGCTGTATAAGGTTTTGTTATGGATTGAGACAGTTTGATCATGTCTCTGCTTCATATTCAAATTATAATTTGCTTTGACTGGAATCTCGATTTCAGCTGCATTTATGTACAGGATGGTCGTCATTGAAGTGTGTTAACAGGAAAAACCTATTTCTGAACTAGATAGAGCAAAATCGACTTATATGCCAAGGACTCGTTTTTTGAGAAACATTTAATGATTAGAACCCCATGGCTTCAGTACCTACCGAGAATAAGGATTTCTTAATTTTCGGCCCTTTTTAAAAATTTCACGTAACTTTTTTATTTATGAAAATTTTGGATTGGGATAAAAACATTATTGGGGAATTTTTTAAAGGTTCTCCTTTTTCTCATAAATGAATACGACTTTCCTAAAAATGCGGGCGTTCAGCCCTTTTCAACCATATTGATTTGATTGTGTCTGTGATGAAAAAAGGCGGAAATATAGGGCATTATTTGTTTATGTATTAGAAGGCCGTGCGTAATATATTCAAAAATACGTATGTATGAAACATGTAACTAAAATAAAATCATTGAAGAGAACTAGGCAGAACTAAAATGTTAGAGAACAAAACTAGGTACAAAACAATTCCAGCTAGATTTTTTTGAATCTATTGCAATTATCTGTGTATGATCCAACATAACAGTCTGTGGATTTTTGCATATTTTCTGTTATATAAATGAAGGCACACCTTTCTGTCTAAGTAAGATCAATATCAAAATGACTATCCGAACTTCTGTTTGATCAAGTCCTTTAAATGACTGGTAATTATGACTGGTAATTATTGGTACTGCCCTTTCTTCGTTGTCCAACACTTTTTTGCACCCCAGGCTTCTCATTAACTGTGTTTAAAATCGATTCAGGACTAACAGCGTGATTTTATGTATACTGTAGTCCTTTAACTAAACGGCTGAGTTTTCTTTCGAAAATTTAGAACAAAAAATAGAATACTAAGGCGTCGAGATTAGTTTTGTTCACCACAGAAATAGCCACATTTAAAAACTCATCGATAATGCAAATCGTAATTCCAGCCACGTCTCATGAATATGTTACTATTGTCCCCTGGTTGTTGCGGCTAGTAAAGTGATAGTAGTAAATATTATTATTTAATTCTGAATATCTACATATCAATTTTTCACGTAATTACGAATTTTAAATAAACAATTTAGGACATACAAGAAAATTTAGGTAAGCAAAATTTGTGAGATAATAATTATCACTTTGAAAAATGAATCTGGGTTGGAATATGTTTAAAATAAGAGTTCCGTTCGGCTAGCAAATAATTTAATAAATAATAAACAATGTAAAATTTTAAAAACCTTATCAACAAATTAATCATGAATTGTATAAGTTACAATATCTTGTCGCGGTTGTAGGGTTTGACTGATTGGAAAGGAAACTCCCGGATGAGGGGTGTCCCCAGGAGCGTAGGAGTTCATTTCGTAGGGCCACTGCCGGTCATAATGATCTGAAATCAAAAGCAAGTATGATCATTTAGAAACGCAACGCGTTTTCTACAGAACTATAATTGCATTGAAATATTGCAACTTTCTTCTACTCCGTTGCTGAAATACATTGTCGAACCTGACAAATCCTCGAATTGAAAAGACCATTCAACGTCCCCTAACCCCAAAACTTCAAATATCTGAGACAATAGACTGTGGTGTTCACGTCCGGTGTAACCATAACCGAAATAGTCCTTACATGGTTCATGTTCATGATGAATATCATGATCATGTCCATGCCCGTGATGTACATGTTGAATACCGTGGTGATAATCGTGGTGATGTTCGAGTCCCGTAGAGTACAGTCCATAGTTCACGTGGCTGGTGGCGATTTTCTTCAGGCCTTGAATCGATGTCAGCAATAACGCTAGCTTAGCCAGAAGCAAAGCCTTTCCTCCGAGCACTGCCAAGAACTGAAAGCCCATCGGAATCACGATCATGCCAGCTGCTACCATACCGAACATCATCAACTGACCCATCATATTGTTTTTTCGTCTGTGGCGACCTGGAAATTAAATCCCTTTCATTGACTTGCTGTCCATTAAATTCATATTAATCCTGTCTTCTGCAACCACTGAAGTTGCGTATTCTGTATATATACAGGGCGTCCCAAATGTCATGGATAAAGTTAAAAAAGCAGATAAGAATACTACGATTTTTGACTGCTTTCGAGTTTAACTTTATATTATGGAAACAGTTGTCGGAAACGATCCTGTATGAACTGCGATGGGTACCGCTTGTGAAGTGAAACATCAATGACTACAGTTTTTTCAATATTAGCAGCAAAATAACAATTTGATAATTGATATCACGGAACAAGAAATATAAACAGTTTTTTTAAATGAGCCAGGGCCAAAATTTTGAATTAGAAAAATTTTAAATTTACTGTACGCAATCTGCAATGTCGTATGAGATTATTAATTTATTTACAAATTCAACAGAATTGCTTGACTTACTTTACGACTTGAACAAATAATATTTGTTGTTCACTGATATCAATTATCAGCTACACAAACTTGAATTTTTAATTGAAAGAAGAAATACCACATAAGCATTTTTAATAACTTTAAGTTCAGTTCTTTCGCTGCTACATTTAAAAAAAAAATAAAAAATTAAAAAGAAAGTAATAATTCATGTGTTAACTTAATAAGTAGTAGCGGTCACGCATGATGCGACATGTGACCACTGTGTCTATAAAAATAAACACCGTTCTCAAAAAAACGTTTTACCTGCAGGAATAGAAAAACTCGAAGAATTTACAATAATAAAATTTGTTCAAAATCACCTCCCCCATCTCCTGTTTCCATTTCATCCACGAGATTTGGGACATTCTGTATAACAAACGCAATAAAGCAACAGCCGCTTTGTTACCCGACCAAAATTCAGATGCTTTTTTTCAATGTCAAAATTTTACATTTGTCAGATATATTACGTAATTCATAAGGGCGGCTTCTCATTACACGGAACTTGTCAAGTAGTTACAAAGTACTCCGAGGTCCAAGTTAATGGCGATTACTTCTAAATTTGTTAATACCTGGGCTACACTACGAGAGGTTTAGATGACAAGTAAAAAGTTATTGTATTTTAGTCGTCCAAATAAGGTCTTAAAATGTCGTCAACGAATGAAATTGAAATGTCTAGATATTTATCAAATGAAGCCATATTATTTGGGTCCCACCACATAAGCAGAACAAAATGACAAAAGAAAATGGACTCTTAGGGTGATATTCCGTAACTACCACATTCTAGGTTTCTTCTATTTTTAAGTAAAGATAACCATAACTTAGAAGTAATAAAAGTAGGGTGTACAACTTACTTGGGCTCTAGCTAGTACTTGCCAGGTACAAAACAAGAAGAAGTATAGAAGCTAAGTATTTTGATGGCGAGTATGTTGGAAAACCATTGGTGCTAACAATTGGTCGGGTAGGGGGGGGGGGGGGGGCTAATCCTAGTTTGTGAATCTTGGGGTGTCCGTAGAAACTAGGAATTTTAAATACATGAGGGATAGGATGTGATAATTCTTCGCAAGCCACAAAACACTTTCCCAACCACCCCGTGTATACCGTGTTGACAGATTTTTTTGTCTCAAAAATTCCGCATCTGATTGGCGAATTTATAGCTGAATGGTGGGATCAACTTTGTTTTGACTAACCGCTTAAAACATTTGCAACGGTTGCACGCACGTTGTATGTCCATGTTTAATGCATTTATTCAATTAATTACCAATTTAAACTACGTTTGAATTCGTGAATATGGACCCGAGCGGTTTATTACAAATATTTTGTAGATCAGGGTTTCATCCCATGTGAATCGCAAATCCCCATCGCATGATTCTTTGGCGTATGATTCGCAGAACAAAGTCGGTTTAGTCAATTTCGGTTGATTACAGAACCCGCAAAGAGACGGATTATAACGAACGAATCGGGGGATGTGCGACATGGATTCTAATTTGCGTTTCAAAAACTGGTAATTAATCAGTTCTGGGTGCTAATATATTAACCACACGCTGGTTTCCTCTAATAAAATGTTGGGCTTTATTAATAGAACAGTAAAGGTTTTCAACGGCGCTCTGGCTTGTCTCATCCTACATGTACAAGGTGGTGCAAACTCGAGGGCCTCTATAGCATTTGCAGCAGCATATTTAGTCCGAAACTAATATGCATGTTAGGGACTCGATTTTCGAGAGAAGTCAAAAACTGAAAACCGCATCGTGATATGTCAAGGCGTTATTGGGCTACAGGGTGATTCTAAAAAATGTGCGATTTTAAAGACTCTCAACTTTTTTTATTGTAAGAATAGAGTTTTGGGAAAAAAACATTTTTTTTAAGTTCTTTTAACCGGGAATCTCTCTATTGTACTCGTTTTGCCTTAGAGCCTTTAGTTCCTGAGATATCACAAAAAGTTATTTCCTTAAATGGGATACCCCCAATTTTCAGTTTTCTAATATAATTTCCTGTCGAACGATATTCCATACACATATTTTTATTAAATTTTTATTACAAATCTCTATCTTTACAAATAAAAAAGTTATAGAGGGGTTTTAGAAAGGCACATTTTTAAGAATCACCCTGCAGGTCAGGGTGCGGTTTTTAGTTTTCGACTTCTCTCAAGAATCTAGTAACATACATATTAGTTTTGGGGCTAACTATGCTGCAAATACTTAAAGCCATAGAGACCATTCAAATTTGGAGCACCTTGTACAGGGTGGTCGTAAGTGGAGTGCTGGAGTGAACTAGATATAGAACCGAGATATAGGGCGTTTTTCAATTTTTGACCCTTTTGGACATTGCCCATAACTATTTTATTTTCAAAAATGTTATATTCGAAAAAACAATATTATTAGGGCTATTTTTAATATTGAAATCGCCTAAATAAAAAATGTCTTCAACTAAACTCAGTAAAACCTGTATAATCAGATGACGGTTTAAAAAATGTAGTCAGGCCTATCATAATACATCCAAATTCTTAGAAAATACGGACAATTTTTAATTAATGCGATATTTCAGAAATCCTCTCTCTCGTTAGTTATGTAAGAGCATCTGCTGTTTTTATTTTATTATTGAAGTTAATTAAGAGAGCGCCTACGTTCTTTACGGGCGCGAAGGAAGGAATTGAGAAAACGAAACATTATTGGGAATAGCAAGTTTTCTACGAATATTACGGAAAAGAAAATTCGTCGGTGCCAGATTGTTGAGTGAACATCTGCCGTTAACATTAAGTCAGCTTGACACTATCTGGATTTTTTTTTGAAATCGTAGATTTTCGAGTTTCCGCCTGTTTAGCAATAAATTTAGATTGTTGGCTTAATGGTTTTTCCATATATCATGTATACCTGCTAAAAAAGCAAACAAAGTGCAATTGCCAAATATTTCACAGGGAAGTTAAATAATAATTAAAATATTTTGTTTGTATATTACCTTTTCATATTTTTTGCTGGTGAATCACTTTTCTTTCAATCCACTGCTTTCATGTTCACTTTTTTAACAATAACGAAAAGTTTTGTTTGTTCACATTCACGTTTAAATGTTTTATTAAATTTTACAGGTACCTTATCGAAATATGGTCAAATAATCCAATAGCCTATATGTCATTTGAAATGGACTTTACGAGGTCACCACAAAACTAGTAAGCGGAATGTTCGTAAATGAGACAGGCGAAAAATGAATTAGTATACAGAGTGTATCATTTAAAAAATCAAACGGAAATTCGAAATATTTTAAATACATACTTCGTCATGAGAGTCATTTGTCCAGATCTCTCCCAAATAATGAAGTAATATGTTCAGATTTGTCTACCTAGTCTTAGGATAGATAAAGCGATGGTTCAATTATTACTTCTTATTCCTATTCATATTTCGTACCGGGTGAATCCCTTGTCCCTATCTGGAAATATGGGGTCCAGTAAGTCCATTTTAAAAACTCTGATGCATAATCTTACAACTTAATTATTTAAGGATTCTTGTCTTGCATTCCTATGAAGAAGTTTTCTTACCAAAACTTAGACGTCATGTAAATGAAAAGATTATGAGACATGTTCTCTATTACGTGAAAAATGCTTAATGTAAGGAAATGAATTATATAAATCTTAAATCATAAGTGGTCTGATGATGACCAAATTATAGTCAACTTATTTGCAATTTTTTTTCTCTGATTGCACCAACAATCAAGATACATACATACAAAGACATACCTCAAATAGTCAATTTGGCAGAAATAAATATTAATGCTGCATCAGTATTTGATGTGTTTTAACACCGAGGAAAATGTAATGTTCTTTCTTCTGGAAAGATACTTTTTTTACACCAATCTTTAAGTGAGGTGAAAGAGGTGGTCTGTGGAGAGTTGACAATACCTTTTTGATTCCTTATTTACATTTGTTTTATCTTTAGAGGTTAGACAAGTTATGAATGAATTTCAGAGTTCTTTACTGAATGCGTTATGCAAATTATCATCACGTGATAGTATTTATAGAGACTTTTCAAAGGCGTTTGACATATAGTCAGTCATAAGTCACCAATAGCTAAGATAAATGCATCCAGAGCTCCCTAACCACACTTAAACAAAAAGTGAAAGTCAATAATCTAACATATTGATGTTCTTTCTGGTATACTGCAAGGATCGCACCGTGGACCCATGTTGTTCGATTTGTTTGCTTTCGAGAGTAAATCAGTTTGTTATGTTCGCTTTAATTCGGATGACGTTTGCCTCTAACAAATCACAGTTTTTAAAATACTTTCAGGTAAGGATAAAGGATTCACTCTGGAAGACAATATTTATAACATAACTACCCCCGAGGCTTTTCTGCAAAGATAGTTTCCTAAAGTATAAAATACAGTGCCTTGTATATATTTATTTAAAATACTCTTCATCACTCATGAAAATAAAGACTCTCATAAGACACACACTGATGTTCATGTTATAATACCCGAAATAAAGAACAACTTCTATAGGCATAACCCAACCACATGTTTTATAAGAAGTCGCTAAGTTACGCAAGACCGTATTATTATAATTTGCTTCATCCAAGCTTAAAAACATTACCTGTAAGACAGTTTAAAAAGTGCATGTGTCAGCCAATGGTTTCTACAACTTAAAAGAATTTGAAGGGCACATTATGAAAGTGTCCTGACCAGTGTCTAGTATAATGGTGTATTTTGAACATTTTGTCAATATGTTTGTACCGTCGTTGGGAAAGATATTCGTTTGTTAACTGTCCTATACATGCAGTATTGTTATATCTGTGTTTATACATATAATTTCACGTATCTGATACAGATGGCTTCCGTTGACAGCGTTAGAGGTGTGCAGAAAATATTTTAGAAATTGCTGCATTTAGATTGAGTATTCCTAAAATAAATGGATACGATATGATAACTGTCCAAAGTATACTTAATATAAAGTCTCTAGAAACTCCACTAGACTGCAAACAAATTTATCCCTTTCTTCCAAATTAATCATAGGAATTCTTTAACTGTATCTCTAGTATGTAATAAGTTTCAATTTATATTTCGCAAATTGGTTCGACCGTTGGAAATAAATGAGTCATAAAGAAATAAAATAACCAAATTTTCAATGGTTAGCACATTTTTTCTTTCCCTTTGGTAAATTCTCTAATCGTTCCGTCAATAGTGGGACCTATTGAGATTGCGGATAACATTTTCCAATGTAATACCGTAATTCATAAAAAAAAATATTTTTGAAGCTTTTTAAGGTTTCTGCAGAGATCTGAGAAAATTCAATTTCCATGCTTTTTAGTAACTTACCCAAAATGATACGCATTTCTTTTTAATGTTACTGCTAGCTTACAGCAAACCCACGCTACGAGAGGGCTACATTCAGTCAAATTTGGCGACAACAAATATCTCAACTTTCACTAACACTCAAGTATATAGCGCAAACTTCAAAAGCAACTGACACGTGACTAATATAAACAACAATTAAATACTGTTTAGGTTAGCGGTGCGTACAATTATAGTGGAATTCTAGAACAATCGAACTACAATTAAATAGCGACGTTGGAGTATGTTATTCTATCATTAATTAGAAATCGTTAGGCAGGTGATTTGGCTTTGATTGTTCCGCCCCATAACTGGACACTTTAATTAAATAAACCTGTTCGTTATGGAGATAAAAAAAAACGAAATATTTACCTTCGGCATCTGGTGAAAATTCTAAACTACTCAGGCGCATCTTAAGTACCCTGGTTTTGAAAAATAGCATTACGCGCTGAAAGAATTCCCTGCTCCAGTCTCCTCCGAAAGATTTGCCAGTTACTTCCAATTTTATTGGATACCTGAGGAGAAAACAAATTATGTGGTGAGTACATTGAATTTTACAAAAGTAGCTCTTTTGATGTACTTCACTGCCCGTTTGTAGTTTGTAGTTTCTAGTTGCTGAGGGACGTAATTAGAAACAGTACCAAAAAAGTTAGCAATGATATGTTGCTATCTTTATATAAACTTTTTATTTGTTTTAATGTGGATTGTTAAAGTCTTGGTATCAGTTAATTATAAATTATTTGTAATATATAGAACTTCGCTAATCCGAACTCCACTAATCTGGATTCTCCAGTAATCCGAATAAAATTTAAATATTACTTATTTACATTATGTATTCCATAATCCGGATTTCTTATGTATTCCATAGTCTATAATTTGTGGTAACAAAATTAGGGAGATTCAGGTGCAACCAAATCAGCTTTACAACGCAGACGAATCAGCACTCTTCTGGAAAATGTTGCCAGATCGCACTTTGGCACCTCATAAAGAATAACTTTCTTTCCTTGTGCAAATGGAATTGTATCATTCCAGTTGAATATGATGCTACCAATAAAGCGTGGATGATTTTAATTTTATTTGTCAAATGGTTTCACGAATCTTTTATTCAACAAATATAAACGTTTTAGAAAGACATTAATATGAGCGGCATATCACTTTTACTGATTGATAACGCTCGAAGTCATTCAACACAAGATCAATTGATCAGTGATAATACCACGCCCTTAATCCAACCGAAGGATCAAAATGTTTTACCGCAAAACCTTATTAATTAATGTTACGTCTGTTGAAGAAACTGACAGCATTCTAAAAAACATGAATTTAAGAGATACCGTATTTCGGCTGGCTAGTTCATGGGATAAAGTGAGTCCTGATGCAGTTCAGAGTTGTTGGAACAAAATATTTTGTCATCCAGATCTTGATGAGTCAAACTCTGGTTGGGAGCCTGAAGATTTGATCCCAATGTTTTAAAACCGCCAGTAGTGAGCCAGTAATGAGCTACTGAAAGTTATTCTTTGCAAGAAACCGAGATCAACGAGTGGATCGATAGCGATGATGATTACTAACTGCACAGTGAGAATGGGAGTGAAGAGGCTGACGAAGAAGGTGATAGAATTGATATAAAAATTATACATGAGGGAGCTATTAGTTCCTTTGGGACATGTGTACAGTGGGCAGAAGAAAATGGTGCTAAACTGAATGTTTTGTCCATCTTACGAACCATGAGAGAACGCGCAATGCAAGTAAGACAATGCAGTATGAAACAAACCAAACTTACAGATTTCCTTCAATTTTAGTTTCATAACATCGACACGTTACATTTTACAATAATGCAAACCATTTATTTGCATTATTTTCGTTGACGTTCTATGTCGGTAAGTGTAAGAACTGCGTGTGGGTGTTCTTTTTTCTTTTATTTTTTAGGTGTTAGTAAATGTTTACATATTTTGTGTTAAAAAATGCTACAATAATGTGTATTTGGTGATTTTTATAGCTTTCCTTAATCCGGATGTTTCACTAATCCGGATTGCCTCGGTTGCCTGAATCGCATATCACTTTACTATAGTATTCCAAAGGACAAGTGTAAATTCACGTAACTCGTTGAACAAAAATATTTGCATCATCTAAAAATTTGTGTCTTTACTATAGGATAATTATAGATATCAAACAAAAAAATTATAAATTAATTTGTTATATACTTACAGAATTTGCAAAAAAATATATAAAATCGGAAACACCTAAATTTTGTCATGTCAAATTACTCTATTCTAAACGACAAATGTAGATACTAGTAGGCGACAAAGTTGTGAAACAAAAATATTTGAACTCGATAAATTATAGAATAGAATATGAAACACAAAAATGCAGATTTGACTTCACACAGCATCATAGAGTTTTGCATATCAGCAACTAAATAGAAAATATAAATTATTCATACATTCAAAACATTGCTGACCACATTTCAAAAGTTCTAAAGATGTATAACTTCAAAACCAGGTTTACCACTTGTCCAAAAATCTCTTCGGTCCGTCAAAGACAAAATTCCATTTGAGATGCCAGGAGTTTAAAGCATTCCATACATATGCGGCAAGAACACGAAAGAGCCTTACACAAGAGCCTAAGACCAATAAACTCATCAGCTGTTGCCGAACATAATCACGAAACCGGACATAAAATTTTATTCGATAAAACTAAAATTCTTGCATGTAATCAATTCTTCTACCATCGAAAAATCCGAGAGTCTATAGAAATCTATAAACAACCTAACAATCTTAACCGCGATTCAGGTCTCTACCTGTCATCAATTTGGGAATCAGTCATCCGAGGCGGTGTTTATGCCCATCACTCAGCTCCGCCCCCCCTCAAACAATATATAAACAGGCACAGAGTAATATACGAGCCAGTTTTAGTAAAACTCTGAAGAAGCCAACAGGATGATTGACGAGACGTCAGCAATTTCTACTCAACAAAAACCGAAGCAGGAGGAATCCAGAAGTTGTGTAAAAAATATAAATTATAAATACAAGTTTAGTCAATTTTCAAGGAGTTCCGACCTTTTCTGGTGGGACACTCTTCAAGTCTACGCCAGATATTAAACACGAAATAAAATACAAGCAACTGCTACTAGCTACACATTCTCTGAATCGGAGTTGGAAACTGGAATCCAATTACTTATGCATACTATGCATATGATGTGAGATTATGATAAAAAAAGAAGCTGCAGTAAACCATCTCATTAAAACAATTATTAGTATGACTAACCAAAACAAGGAGCCTAGGCACTGTTCACAGCCAGCGGGTGCCTAAAATCACCTTCAAAAAAGATTGTCTCGTACAAAGTTCGAAAAATATTTGAAATATTAAAACATTCAATTCTATCAATAAAATGAAACGATTCAACCTATAGATGGCCACCGTTGCCTAAGTATAAAACTAGGAAGTATTGTATTCGGGCATTGATGTAGGTACTCTAACCAAAGGACACGAGTGGATAATGATTCATACATTGACTTACCAACAAGTGGCAAATATATGAAAATATCCCACAAAAGCATGGTAGATATTGGGGTTAGGAACTGCAAATAGAAGAGGCTGACTGGTAGTTCAAGACTATTCAGATCCATCAAATATCTTTAGAGTTATTGGCAGAATAAGACTTAAACTCAAAAGATGTCTGGAAAAGCCGAAAAATAACCAGCCATGAGTATTGACACAAAAATGAAAGTGAGAGAAGCAGAAAACATCCTGGTGAAAACATTTAAGTTTTAATTGGTGAATTGGTTTAGTTATAAATTTAACCTTTTGGTTGATTGATTTGAACTTTTAAGAGTATTGGTGGGACAGGATGCCTGTCTCAGTGTGTCTCCCTTACTAGTAAAAATGTTTTTGTGGTTCGATTCCTATTTTTTTTGGTTTGTTATCATTTCATTTTCAAATTTGTCAGTGGTCATGATTTTAGTCGATACTATACGAAAAACATCGCTTCAGTGTCTTTTAGACAGCTAAGTTTGTCCCACGCACTGTACCGTGCATCCAATTTATCTTGATAACATTTTAGTTAGCTGTAATTTTTGTTGTTTTTAGAGATGTCAAAGTAAAGAAAATTACAAAATGTATGGCTAGTAGCCAAGTTTTTTCCAAGTGACGTATAAAACAAAACACTATCCATTTTCTGACATATAAGCCGACATAATATATTTTTAAATGGAACACCCTGTATATTATAAACGTGTTTAAAAGAATATCTTATTCCGATTACAATGATGTAGCGCACTTTATATTTCAGTATAGACTCCTTTTTGACAAATTAGCAAAAATAGGAAATTTTTATATAATTCCAAAGAGTACCGTCACTGTCTGCCACAACAATAATCATGTACAAATTAAAGTAGAACAAAAACACTAAAAATTACAAGACAGAATGAAGTAAAAAATTCTTTAACTATTCAAAATTTCCTGAACATTTTCCAGATTGTCTCTTAAGTGATTGATTGGGTCTGAAATCCTTTGCCGAAGTTCCACGACATTAAGCAATTGTATACACGTGATTTTTGATTTGTCCCCAAAAGAAAAAATCCATTAATGTTAAGTCGGTGCTGTTCCATAGTTTTGGTTAGTTTTGGTTAGTTTCCTTTTCCTTCCTTTCCTTGGCCGTTCCCTACCCAACCCCTGGGATATTCCATGTTAATGATCTCCAGTTAACATTTAATTTATAAATATAGGATCCAAAATATGCACATCTATGACATCACACTATACATTAATTGATTATTACCCCTGAGTTTTTATTTCGTGTATTCGTTTAGGACTATTTAAAGACCAATGTCGCATATTTTGTCTATTACAACCCTTTCATCAGTCCATAAAACGTTTTTCATAAAATTATTTTCTCATTAGGTCTATTTAAAAAATCCAAACAAAACTGCATACTTCTTTGACATTGTTCTGCACATAGTTTTTGAATTTTACGAAATTTAAATGCATTGTATTTATATCCTTTCAAAACCGAGTGGACTGATCCCTGAGAAATACCTGTCCCTTCATAAATTTTAATAATAGAGGAAACTGGATGTGCTTCATATAATGTATTCGATTTGTTTTCTTCATTTAAAACATTATGATTCCGGCATACCTTTTTAGCATTTAATACGTTACCGTTTTCTGCAAATTTCTTTGCCAGCTTTGGAAATATCTGTTTTTAAGGAGTTCGGCATTCTTGATAAAGTCTAATATACTAACGATGAGCTGTGATTGCACTTGCATTATTCAGAAAGTATACTTAAAGCATATCACTGCTTTCACGGATACAAAATTCGCGAAAACCCATTTTAGCAATAATGACTTGGACAATAATTCGACCATCAACGTTATTCTACTCCTGTCTGTAAAATACCTAATTACCATTGATTGATAGTGTCTTGTTACTTTCGAAAAATTGATAAAATCGAATTTTTCGAAAGTATATGCGTTTGGCAACGAAACCTATATCTCGGCAACGGAGGATCTTACAGCGTCG